CCAACAATTGCCAAAATTGCATGCATGCCCACTCCAATTCAATCCTCCCTACCCACCTGTGCATGCTCACCTGACCCCACCCCAGGCTCTGGAGGCTTTCCTGAACCTGGGGAGGACAAAAACACCCCTTCCCCCCGGAGGCCCTTCAGAAGCCAGAAACAGATCATTTCCGAACTTCCAATTGGCCCACTTGGGCTGTTTTCTGCCCTCTCCAGGTTTCAGGAGAGCGTCTGGAGGCTGGGGAGTGTGAAAACAGCCTCTGCCAGCCCTCCAGAAGGGTGAAAAACAGCTGTGTGGCACGCACATGCGTGCTGAACTGACGGGTGCCATGCCAGCAAATACAGCTCCGCATGCAACCTATGGCACACATGCAATAGGTTTGCCATCACGGGTATAAAGGGAGAGGCTACTACACATATTCTTAAAATGTGAAGATGCTAATTATATTTTTTAACCAATCAATCGGCAAATAGCAATGGCAATAGCACTTAGACTTATATACTGCTTCACAGTGCTTTACAGCCCTCTCTTGGCAGATTACAGAGTCAGCATATTGTCCCCAACAATCTGGGTCCTCATTTTACCCACCTCAGAATGATGGAAGGCTGAGTCAACCTTGAGCCTGGTTGCAGGCAGCCGGCAGACAGCAGAAGTAGCCTGCAGTACTGCATTCTAACCACTGTGCCACGGCGGCTCTTTAATCTTTAATTTTGAAGCAAATCATTAGCTATGAATTGAGGAAGGAGATCTACATTTGCAAAGAAGCATAGAGGATGTTTTTGAAGAAGAAGTGAAGGAGTGGAGAGGCAAAGGATTGCAGATATCGCTGTTGAGTCTAGAGGGCTTTGGAGATTAGTTTTGGGTAGAACTGCTTCCCTATTGAATTTTAATCATGTTTGTAAGGACTGAACAGGAGTTCTCTCACACACAACAACAACAACCAAGACACAAGCTGCTGAGCTAAACAGCAAAACCATTGATATTTCCATAATTTGTGCTAGGAGGAATGAAATACAGGTGTCTGCATTAATGTGTTTCTCTCTGTCTATGAGTAGAGAATGGCTGGTATGTGCTTTGTTTTTGTTCCGGTGTGCCTTTGCATCAGTGCTGACTCCTGGTGACTGCCTGTACAAGTCCCTGCAGTATTCCTGGCAAGGTTTCAGAAGTGGTTTGCCTTTGCTTTCTTTTTAAGGCCGAGAGAAAGGAAATGGCCTGAGGTCACCCAGCTGGCTTTGTTCCTAAGGCAGGACTAGAACTCCTGGTCTCCTTATTTCCAGCCTTTCTGCCTTAATAACCACTACACNACCACAATGAGCTTGGTGTCCTTTGACATAGAGGAGATGCGAGCTGGTGCTTCCTTAGTGACAAAGTAGCTGGGCGTCTTCTCCATGGTGATCTGGCCATCAAGAGTCCTTGGCATCAATTCCCTGCAAAGAAAGAAAGAAATTAGCAGACTGGTGAGAAAAATAAGGATATTGCTTCAAAAGTGTGTTTGTTTGTTTTTATCTATTCCTGCCATTGGCAGTTTAGCCAATTCTTGCTACTGACCATTTGGCAAATTCACAGAGTCCCAAAGACAAAATATATCCAAACATACCTGAAAGATTCAGATGAAAATATTTGATTTATTTGAAATTTACCAGTAAGGTGTGAAGGGAAACGTGTGTATGCCAAACATACTAAAAAATGAATGATTTAAGAATTACATTGGCAAATGGGATATTAGATCTCACAGTGCTAATAAATGCAACATCTGATAAGAGAGTTCCACTTAGGAGGGGGGTATGAATGGGTCTTTCTCTTTCTATCCTACTTTTTTCTGCCTTACATCTGCCCTACTATTACTTTAGTCAGTCTGCGCTTGCCCTTCATATCAAGAAACTAAAAGCTAGTAAAACATTGTATGGATTAAACATTGTTCACCAAAGAAACACAAAGGCATACACAGGCATTCATTTCACTATGCTATTATTAAATATTACACTTTTATTGTTTTATGAATTTTGTTAAATATTGTCTTGTATTCCATGTAGAGAACTCAAGATTCATGAGTAGATTAGAAATACAATAAGTTTTCAATATTGTTGACCGCTAGTCAAATACCTTTTCTTTTGTTCTCTTCTAAATAGAAAAAGATTAAATGGGCCAAAAGTTATGACCTAACTGTAGGATGGAATTTCCCTCTGACATTCCAAATTTCTTACATACTGGAAAGAATAACAAGGACTCACCAAACAGCTGATTTATCACATCTAGAAATTTACAGCCATTGCTTTGGTTCTGATCAGTCTTTCCTGCCCTGTTGCTATCCAGAAGTCTAGGTTGCAACATTCATAAACCTGAACAGTATCAAGTTAGAAAGCCTAAAATATGGGTACCAATTTTTTGAGTTGCTTTGTGTATTACTTTGTATAGAGCAGTGACGACAAATCTTTTTCCAGGAGGCCCATTCCCCCCCCCCCCCAATTCCAACAATTGCCAAAATTGCATGCATGCCCACTCCAATTCAATCCTCCCTACCCACCTGTGCATGCTCACCTGACCCCA